CCCTACGACTTCTAAAGAGGTGACATTGGACGCGGATGGAGATGGCAATGTTCAAGCTCCATTACTCTCTTTAGATAAAGCCATGGAAAGGAGTACGTCTGAGCAGGAATGAATAACTGGCTATTTTTTAGCAACAGGGGGTAACATAACCTTTCAAAATGTTCAACACATTTTCCATTCAGTGTGACACGACTTAACTTCATCATTATTTAACGTAGTCAACTTCTCGCACTACCTTTGAATGTGTGGATTTCATATTTACTGATTGTTTGAACACTAGTAACAACATGGCAGATATACGAAGTGCCGTTTGTATTTGGCTACCTCTTTTATTAACTGTGCATATATATCGCTTCATATAGCGTAATATTTAAGGTCGAATTCTTAATTTAAATAATCGCCTGCTGAAGCACCAGACTGTACCTGCTGTTCGCGTTCTTTTACGAGATAATTCGATCCTGGTGGGTGCTTAAAAAGGTGAGCAGCTTCGAGGCTGCAGTCGACTGTCTCATAGGCCTTGGTTAGCATCGAGAGGAGAGTCATTGAACTCGCGCTGTTATTGGCGGATCCCGCAACTCCCCCGGTGCCATAGCCACTTGGCAAGACGCCTTGGTGGGCACCCTTTTCTCCAGGCAGAATAAAAGCCTGTGTTGCAGCCGAGGATCCACTGACAGCGAAGGCCTTATGTGCCACGTCACCTGGACCACCACTCTCACCGTCTATAGGACAGCGGGCCTTCGCTGACAGTCTTCCCCGTCGACCCTTCAAGCTGTCGCGGCGAACAACTATCAGCGGGACAAAATTCATTATGGCGCGAATAACCACGCTACTTAAAATGCCTAGTAGCAATCCGTTGGCTTGTCGCAATTCAACTCGTTGGATTCTTGTTTCAAACATAGCCACAGGCTAACTTGGAGAAGCAAAAACGCCAATTATAGTGATCTTAAAGTTACGCATTGTCTATCCATATCATTCTTATTCAGACAGATGATTGCGAAGAGTTGACGCAAGTAAGGATGCGCTCGCTTACCTTCTTTGACCATCCCTACTTTGAGACATTTCTGAAATCGGCAATATTGACAACGATTTCTTCTACGTTTGTCGACTATGCAGTTCTTTGTCTGAAGACACACGTAATGGGCATTCTTTTGAATTGTTCGCTACAATTTAATGCAAGCAGATGAAGGGTGAGGGAAAAAGTTTATTAGTTTGGTGCCTGAGAGGTTTACATGGCACTGACATCTAAAAGGCAAATACGATTGCTTCGTGAGGCAA